TCCCTCCGTGGCCGCGGGTCGGCTCAGGGTTCGCCTGAGGGCATTTTCCTCCCCGGGTAGGTTTTTCCCTTTCAGTCTGTGGGCCGGGCTGAAAGCGTTCGCGTGTCCTCGTTGGAAGTTTTAAAGATCGACGCACGTGAAGTATTGATCACGGTAGGTAACGAGCAGGTTACTTGGTGTGTTACGTAGGCGCTTAAGTTACTCTAGACTTAGAATGCGTAACGGGTTTGTTCAGATTTGTTTAAAAATGTGTGTAAAAGTAGAAGGACACCTCCTTAACAAAGAGGGTGACACAGTTGCTAAGATCGAATGTAGTGATGTCTCTTTTATTTTTACACTCGGGTTGGACGATTCATCATTCCTGTTGTAAATAACTTAGTTTGTGGTTTTGCTCTTGTATAAGCTGGTGGTGCCACATGTCAAAAGTTTCCGGTTAAAATTTAGATCAGCAGTGGTAACCGTTTTAAAGACCCACTCCCCCGTCCTCCTCAGTGATGGAGCTACTTTTATAAAGAGATGCGGAGAAGAAATGGGCCAGGTGACAGTGTAGATCGCGAGACAGGAAGCGGGCTGGAAGGTGGCCTCGGGCTTTCTCCCTAAGTGGAGGGAACCAGTTCCAATGAACACTTCTCAGTCTCTGGCTCTGCAGGTAGGGAGCGGGAAGGCAGGACCCAGTCACTTAACCTTCCTGGATCTAGGTGCTCGCCCCTAGAACGGCGAGCATCTGGGGACCTACAGATCTTGAGAACTTAATCCCTAGATTTCAAGTATACATTGCTGTAAAACTGGTAATATTTGTGGTAAATAAGCTCAATTCTAGCTTTACCATCTGTAATTTTGAATTATTTTTAGCAAAACTTAATGGGTCTACATCTCTTCTATGAGGTTTAGAAAAGCTTAGCTTGTTGATTGAGCTCTGATACTGCCAGAAAAATAGCTATCTTCTCTATTTTGAGTCAGTGATAAAATTATTTTTGTAACTTAAGAATGAATAACAGTTTTATCAGCAGCCACTTGCCAATAGTAAATAGTAGGAATGTATACATTGGTACCACTATAAATTGCTATTACTAGTGTTAGTCTGATCTGTATTGTGAAGTAAATTTTTTTTCTGGACATTTACTTCAGAGTTGGGAAATTAGTAAGAATGAATGAAGACATGTTCTAGAAAGTTACATGTTCGTATTGTGAAAGTGAATAAACGACTGCTTTCCTGTTAAACGGTGTGATGGTTGTATCAATAGAGTCAGTTTTCAGAATATTTACTCCAGCCTAATTCAGGATACTCTTTGGTTGTTTTAGTTGTGTGTTTTAAAGTGGACGTATACAGGTGAGATGTATCTTAGATACTTTGTTTTACCTACAGTAGGTTCAGGACGCAGTCCTGTGTTCTGTGTTCTGACAGAAACTATTGGAAAGAACTTTAAGGGGATTGCAGAATTTGCGATGCTGCTGAAACCTAAGTTGTACCAGATCTCTTCTGAAAACCACGTGGAGTGGCCCTTTCAGTAGAAGCTTAGATTGAGTGCACAGCCAGAGCTAATTGCATACTGCTCAAACTGGAAGAACCCGAGGTTTGGGTGATAGAGTCAGTAGAACACTGCCTTTATTCTGTGTGATGTGATGGAGGTCATCTGTTTCTGTTTTGCTT